CACTGAAATAAATAAAAAGGTGCACCTACTAGGGAAACAAGAGATCCCTGATTTTAGAAATATTTTAATTAAGGATAAGATGAGCTTATATAGTTGCTAAATGTAAATTAATCTGAATTAAATATTTTAAATCCAGTATAAGTTTAATGGCAGCTAATCAGTTATGATGCTTTTCTTATGGGGTACACTGCAGGCCAGTAAGTGGAGATTTATAAAATAAATGTTCCAAATGAAAAAGAGAAATATTGAAGTAATACTTGCAATCCTTTAAAGGAACTTTAAAGAAGCAATCTAGAGACTATGTTCAGAGAACAGCTAATACCTTCTTATTCATCAGTGAAACAAGGAAAAGACAATTTCATCTTAACTGAAATTGAAGCATAATCTGGGTGCAACATGGATTTCAAAGTTAAAAATAATTTTTGTCAATAAAAAAAAATCCAGAAATATGCTGTAATACAGTATGTGTATCATGTTATATACAGTGAAATCTCATTTTCATATATTCATTGGGAGCAGAGTGTGCCCATTATTGAGGAAAGTCTGTTAAACTGGAGAGTAGGGCATCCCATTTACAAATGATAGAAAACGATACAAATGACAATTTGCTTCATTTGAGAAATGGCATTATGCAAATGACATAAATCACAGTGGACATTTGAGTTTGTGAGGTTACAGTACATGTGAAGTTTGTTGTATTAAGGTCTGATAAAATGAGGTTTCCCTGTATTGTTTCAGGACCATTTGATCATCTGGGAATGGGGAAGTTGTGGCCTTCCAGATGCCACGGATCTCCTAGCAACAGATGGCCAATGGTGAGACATGCTGGGAATTATCATCTAGCATCAGGTTCCCTTGTTCTTTTTGATTGATGGATTGATTATATGCCATCAAGTCTCTAGTATACATCAATTTCCTGTAGCAGTTCATTGGATATCGTATCAGGACGCCAATGCCAACACTAAAAGCTTAAACCTCAGCATTAGATTCCATCATGCTGGAAGCAAACTCAATTTTATAAGGTCAGTTACAAGTGGACAGGCTTTGCACCATTTTCTGTCTCCACCTATAGCTTTTTAGCCCATGTGAGCTACAACTGAGAACCAGTTTGGTGTAATGGTTAAGGTACTGGATTAGAAATCAGGAGACCATAGTTCTGGTCCTGCCTTAGGTATGAAAACTGGTTGGGTGATTTTGGGAGCCCACCTCCCTCACAGGGTTGCTATTGTGGGGAAAATAGGAAGTGGGAGCAGTATGAACACCGCCTTGAGTTGTACAAAATAAAGGCAGGATATAAATCTAATAAAAGAAAAATACTAAGGCAGTATTATAATCTGGAATATTTTATCACTCTTCCCAAACATATGATCACAATTCAACAGATAGAGTGCAAATTATTGCTTGGAATACCACAGCTGATGTTCATCCTCAGAATCAGAATTATAATAATTACTGCTGAATATATGCTCTGTGCTTCAGAAGAACTACATGAATGACACTATAGCACTTTGAAAGGGAGGAAGTTTCTGAACAATCTCTGAATATTTCGTTCATGCTCCCCAACACAAGAGGGGGGCATAGGTTGGAAAATTATTTGTTTAGAGAGGCCTATACTAACAAAGTTTATTTTATATTTTAGAAACAGAAAGCTAGGATGGTTGCTGTGATTGTAAAATTTAAAATCAGAAACTACCAGTTCTCTGTCTTTTTATTTGCTAAATGTGGGCGCATATTAGAACAATGGAAGCACAGTTTTAGAATAATAAATCATTAATCACAGTTTTAGAATAATAAATCAATAATAAATCACTTCCCTGCATACTCTGAACTGCAGATGAGTGTATCCATGCCAGATCTTAAAAAGTGCACTGTGTTTTTCACTTTAGCTACAGACTGGCTAATAGGCATTAAGGATTCTGATGCTTTATAATTGTATCTATTAGTCAGCATCTTGCTATTTCTTTCAAACCATTTGTCCAAACGGATACAGATTTAAATTGGTACATCGATCATTCCTTCTACATAGGAAACCCTGGAAATGACACTTCTCTGGAGAAGCAGTATTCCCCTCAACAGCTTGTTTGTAGCATCTTTCCAAGGATTTTTTTTCAAAGGAAGCCAAAACTGATAAAACTGACCCAAGCTTGAGATGTAGTTATACAATACTCCCTAAATTACAAACCCAAATTATCCTTTGTCGTTGCATTTTCCAAAGCTAGATTAAGAACAGTAGTATTAGGTAATGTAAAAATCACATCATTACATTTCTCAGACAAGGCTGATTTCATTCAAAGGCCCTCCTCTCCTTATACAATAAAAAGCAGACCAGCTGAACTCTGAAAACGTGACATCAGTGGCTTTTGCATCACTGAGCTATCCATGTTGCAGACAGCGTTTTGATATTGCCTTGCTCTGTAGAGATTTGATGCATCAGGTCAATGACATGGCCCATCTCCCTCAGACTAGTCTCTGGGATCTTAAGTGCAGAGCTAGTTAATAAACTGTAGGAGGGATTCTGGTTAAGCAGAAGCAGCACGTCCAGTTCTGTTTGAACAGTCAGAAGTCGGCACAATCATATACAACAAAGATAAAGCTGACACCTGTTGCTTTCAGATAATAAACTGCTAATCTGATGCACGGAATTACTGTAGCAGAAAGGCAAGTAACTCAGCTTCAGCATCACAGGCAGAAGTGGCTTACCTTTGTGGTGCTAAAAGTTACCC